TTTGGTGGCCTTGGGTGTGTTTGGAGAGAAAGATGGGGGAATGTTAATGTGGTGGGGGTGTGTTTTTGGGGGGTGAGGTTTGTATATAAGTATGAATATTTATGTTTTTTGGGGGCTTTTGTTTTTTTTACAAGTGTATGTGAATTTTGAGTTGACATGCAAATGTCGCAAATACTTAGGTGTGCCATGGCACACCTTGCTAGGTGTGCCATGGCAGAGAGTGAACACACGTAAAAATAAAGAGAGTGACTTTAAATTGTATTTCTTGTCAAAAATCCAACCCCCACGCGCAGAGAGAGAAAGAGAGAAAAAGGTAAGGAGGTAAGACATTTTTTTTAAATGGACATGTGTCTCATTTCTATTGGATAATGAAATTCATATATCATTTTATAGAAATTAAATTATCATTCATATTTTGTATCAAAAAATAAAAATAAAAATACCAAAATTCATAATTTTTCATTCTCTACAAATAGAGACCACATTTGATATTTTTTGGAACACAATTAATTTAATATTTTTTACAATTAATTTATCTTATTGAAAGATTATGACATAAATTTATAATTAAATGAATATGTTATATAGTAAAATGAACATGTTATAGAATAAGATGAACATGTCATAAAATACGACGAAAATGTTACATTTTCACAGATGAAATTTAGATAAACATGTTCTAAAATAAGATGAATATGATACATAAAAAAATGAACATGTTATAGAATAAGATGAACATGTTATATAATAAAATGAACATATTATAGAATAACATGAACATGTTATAGAATAAGATGAACATGATTAGATTTCATATCTACATCACGGGCTCTCACATTATTTTCTCTTATTTCCACTTCATACACAAAATTCTGGTCAATTTCTTGCTCGACTTTCACTCGTTTAATGCAAGAATCTCCGCCCTGAAATAATAAACCATAATTTACAGTTAAGAACTCAAATTTATGCAATAGTCATACTATAGGAAATGAAAGTGAAAAACTAGTAGAATGTAAAAGAAATTTCATAAATTAGTCTTTCGATCGAATATCCTCCACCTTCACAAACTAAAATTCTCTCTAATAAGATGAAAATGTTACATTTTCACATATGAAATTTAGATAAACATGTTATAAAATAAGATGAACATTTTACAATAATAAAATGAACATGTTATAGAATAAGATGAACATGTTACATAATAAAATGAACATGTTATAGAATAAGATGAACATGTTACATAATAAAATGAACATGTTATAGAATAAGATGAACATGTTTAGATTCCATATCTACATAACGAGCTCTCACATTATTTTCTCCCATTTCCACTTCATACACAAAATTTTGGTCAATTTCTTGCTCGACTTTTACTCGTTTAATGCAAGCATCCCCGCCCTGAAGTAATAAACCATAATCCACAGTTAAGAACTTAAATTTATGCAATAGTCATACTATAGGAAATGAAAGTGAACAACTAGTAGAATGTAAAACAAATTTCATAAATTAGTCTTCCAATCGAATATCCTCCACCTTCACAAACTAAAATTCTCCCTAATAAGATGAAAATGTTACATTTTCACAGATGAAATTTAGATAAACATGTTATAAAATAAGATGAACATGTTACATTAAAATCAGCATGTTATAGAATAAGATGAACATGTTACATAATAAAATGAACATGTTATAGAATGAGATGAACATGTTTAGATTCCATATCTACATTATGGGCTCGATTATACTAAGTTTGACTCGACTATACTAGAATTTGAATCGATCATACTAGAATTTGAATCGATCATACTAGAATTGAATTGATCATATTAGAATTTGAATCGATTATACTATAATTGAATAGATCATACTAGAAATGACTCGATTATACTAGAATTTACTCGATCATACTAGAATTTACTCGATTATACTTAATTGACTCGACTATAATCGAGTCAAACTTAGTATAATTGAGTAAAATTCTAGTATAGTCGAGTCAAACTTAGTATAATCGAGTAATTTCAAGTATAGTCGAGTCAAACTTAGTATAATCGAGTAAATTCTAATATGATCGAGTAAATTCTAGTATAGTCGAGTCAAACTTAGTATAATCGAGTCAAATTCTAGTATAGTCGAGTCAAATTCTAGTATAGTCGAATCTAACTTAGTATAATCGAGTCAAATTCTAGTATAGTCGAGTCAAACTTATTATAATCGAGTCAAATTATATTATAGTCGAGTCAAACTTAGTATAATCGAGTCAAATTCTAGTATAGTCGAGTCAAACTTAGTATAATCGAGTCAGATTCTAGTACAGTCGAGTCAAACTTAGTATAACCGAGTCAAATTCTAGTATAGTTTAGTGAAACTTAGTATAATCAAGTCAAATTCTATTATGATCGAGTCAATTATAGTATAATTGAGTC